AATAGGTAGGTGACGACGGGAGCAGGTTTGGGTGGACAATTCCCTTCTCCCCCAGTCGGTGCATGTGCTTTGAGAAGTCCACCCGTCGAACGCCATTCATTTCCTTGAACCGCTTCACCACCAGGGACTCCAGTAGGGTCACCTGGCACGCCAAAGTTGCCGCTGTCCAGCACCACAATGGGTGCACAGAGTAGGTCCTCCAGCTTGAACCGCGCCTACCCCTCTAGGACAAACACCAGCTTCCCACGGTCGTCGCGCTGCTCGCCTCACTTCTCAGCCACGCTGCATGGCCTACCCCTGGCCTGCTCGCCTGCACACTACCTGGCCCGAACATTGCCTCACCAGCTGCCTCGCCCACGCGCTACCGCCATTGGAACAACACCCCCCAAGCCTGATTCAAATTCTAAATTTTTGACGTGGATGGGGTGAGGGGGAAAGAGATAAGAATAAAGGGCAACTCTGTTTTCCCCTACTTTTCCATGAGTTTTGCTTTTTTAAAATCATTTATTTTACCCTTAATTGATGAACATCCAAACTAGGGGCAAACAAAGATTTCTTTTCAAAATCGCAAGGGAAAATCATAAAATTGAAAAAAGATGATAAAATCATAATTAGATTGCTAAACTAGGAGCTAGATGTTTTTTTTCTAATTATCGCAGTCCTTTTGTAAAGGATCCAGCGGTGATCATAACTTTTACTGTCGATCTAAAATTGACAGTGATTGAGTTTATTATCACTTCACTATGAAATGGAAAAACGGGCAGTGTTAGGGGTTTTAGGATCCGTTTGGCACAGCTCTGGCTAGTTTGTAGACTAAATTAAAGAGCTTTAAATATTTTATTTAATCTAAAATATAAACAATTAGCTCCTCTCCGGGGACTGTATTGGTCCCCGACAGATGTGATCTTTTTACCATATTTTAATTTGAATATGAATATAAATTCGGATATTTTTGGATACGAATACAAAACGGATGTCACGGATTCGAATTTCTATTCAGATATTTACTTAAGTCAACTCAAAATGTATATTGTTAAACTTTACATACATGAATAAAATTATTTTACTAAGTACATTGTTAACCAAAGTGAACTAAATGAAAGTTCACTTCTAATAATCTCCAATATCGAAGTAAACTAAATTATAATGGATAATATTGAATAATATAATAGATCAAGTGGAGAAATTCAATTAAAAATGGTAGAAAACGAATAGCCATTTTACTTTATCAATAGTATAGGAATTACAAAATTATCACACAAATAGAGATTAAAACATTTATGTATATAACATAGACAAGGAAAGCACATAAAAATAATATAGTTATCAATAAATATTTAATAATTAAATATATATCAGTTAATCAATCAATATTATATTTATATAAATATTTATCAAGAAATTATAAATTTATATAAAATAATTTACATCAATAAATAAGAAACTAAAGTGTTAAATAATTTAAAAGAACATATAAATTAGGATTAAACTAAATCAGAAAAATACTAAAATTAATTTTATCTTTATGTATCATTAACAATTTTAAATTACTAAAAGTTATTTATAGATATACTATTAAATGGGTTCAATGCATTATTAGTAAAAAAATTACACTACTACCAGAGTCTTTCTAGAGGTGGGCGTTTTGGTTTAACCGAGGCGGGCAAAACGACCGCCTCCGTCGAAAGGTATGCGTTAATACAGACCTATGGATGCGGGTGCTTTGCCCGTCTTGGTTAATCGATAAAAAAATAAAAAAATCCCCAAGCCCACCGGTGAGCCCGTTCACAAGCCCGCTGGTGAGCCCGTTCCCAGCCCACAAGCTGGATCCGCCGAAACGAACCGCTACCGGGAGGAGGTGGCACCCCGTGCCACCGGCCCGCCTGCCGGGAGGAGCCGCTCACGCATTGTCGTGGTAGGGAAGAGGAGCGAATCCGTTGGATCCGCGGGGAGGAGACGCCGCCAGGAGGAGGTGGCGCTCTGCGCCGTCGATCCACCCTCTGGGAGGACCCGCCCGCACGCCGCCATGGTAGGGAAGGGGTGTGGATCCGTCGGTTCCGCTGAGAGGGGCCGCCACCTTCTCGACGACGTTCGAGGTGGACGTAGAGTGGTGGTGGCAGGGATCCGCCTTCCTAATCCGCCACCCATCGGATCCAGCCTCCCTGCGCCACCGTCGAGGGTCCCCACGGGATCCGGCCTCCTTGCGCCGCCCCCAACCGGATCCAACCTCCATGCACTATCGTCGAGGACTCGAGAAGGAGGGGATTGGGAGGGAGGGAGGGGCGGGCTCACGAGGGAGGGAAAGGGGCAGTGGCTATGGGGGAGAGGGAGGAGACAGAGTGGAGGAGAGGGCGCCATTGGCTTCGAGTGCGTGGAGAGAGAAATAAACTGAGAAGAGAATATGAGGCCAGTAGAAGGATAGATATGGGCTTTGCCTGTGCTCGGAGTTGGGCCAGTATTTTTGAAGGCGGGCCTTATAGTGTGCCCGTCTCTGAAAATGGATTTACGGAGGCGGACGCCTTAAGACGTACGACGGTCTCCGAAAATAGACCATTTTTGAAGGTGGATGTCTTAAAACGACCTCCTCCGTAAATCCATTTTCGAAGGCGGGCATTTTCCAACCGTCTCGGTAAATAAAATGACTGCCACCGTAAATTGATTTTATGAGGCAGTTTTTTTTTTGCCTCGGTAAATAAAACAACCACCTCCGTTAATCGTCGGGCATTTTCCGAGGTGGTTGCATTTTGTGACCGTCTCGGCTAATGTTGGGTAGTGTCTTGTAAAATTATTTCTGTAGTAGTGTTAAATAATTGGTCACATGTTATGAAGAGAACTTTTAAGTAGGTTCATGATACCTTATTTTCTTTGCGGATACAGATAGTGTCGGATATTGTCATATACGGATTTGGAACCGCATAGAGAAAAACACTAAAATACGAATTCGGATATATCCATTTAGTATCCATATTAGAAACCGATACGAATAGAATATCCATATTACGAGTTTTAGCGGATATGGATATAGGATAATTTATATATCCATTTTCATTTTCCATCCCTAGCGTCTGGTACTGATTCTAGAGTGGTGGCTTCTGAAGTCGAATTTCCAATTTTTTTCATCCCTAGCGTCTGGTACGATTCTGGAGGATTCTGGTCGAATGCTATTTGCTCCTCGCGAGTAGCTCCTGAAACGCGCTCCACGTCACGGAGCTGAAAAATGCAGCTCTCACCCGCTCTCCTTTGTTAGTTGCGAGTGGAGGTATTCTTTTACCCCTGACTTGACCAAAAATTACAAGGAATCTTCCACTCTCTTCACTCATCTCATCTCGTCCAACCGTATCCATGGATCCCGAGCGCCTAGGTGCGAGGAAGGAGGGAGAGAGGACCGGAAGCACAGTGGGAGGGGGGTGTGGTTGTCTAGGAGAAAGGAGGGTGAGGGGACCGGAAGATCGCCTGGCTTGGCATGGTCCCTGGTGGCATCGCATGGCCGGACGAGGCATCAGGCAGTGGCGCGTGCCTAGGCGTAGCCCTGGGCGGCGAACACAGTGGTGCACGGGTGGGCAAAGAGTCACGTCCGGTGCTGTTCAGAGGGAGGAAAGAAAATGATGCGCGTCTATGAGAAGATAAGGTAGATGGGGGTTATAAAAAATAAAATATGTTAGCAAAAATTAGAGGAAAAAGAAAAAATGGTATTGTAGTCATTTCATTATTTTTAACAACTAAAACAAGTTGTTTTACCGAATGTTCTTTTAAAACAGCTTTAACTCTACATGTTAGGCTGCTCCACCAGCTGAAATTAAAAACAAATACTCCACTAATAAAACAGGGCAGTACCAAACACGTCCTTAGAATGTCCACGTAATCATCCAGCAGCACTATCAGAATCAATTTGCTGGGTAAGCCACTGACCCCGGCCCTCTGTCCGCACCGAGCCACCAGGAGGGTTTGTTCGGTTAGTCTTCAATCCGAGAGAAGGATCGGAGGTGATTATGGAGCATTTTAATCTTTTATGAGACAAAATCCCTCTCCATTCTTTTAGATCCCTCCTCCAATCTCCTTGAGATAAGAGGCTAACCGAACAAGCCCTGAATGGGGATGGATATATAAATGTAATATGAAAAGTGTGTTAATATACGAAGAATTAGATGGCAAAGCTAAGCAAAGTTTCCATTTTCTAACACTTGTCCCTTAAGATTGCTAGCCCGTGCAGAAGCATGGATTAATAGACACTCTTATTTTAGACCCATTTAGGACGAGAGAATCTTTAATAAAGAAACTTTCAATAGTTTATGTTGATCTATATAAGATATACCTGTAAAATTCTTATATGTGTACCCAAAAAAAACATGAATCTCCTTGCACTACTGTGCGATATGTCCACGTAGCGGTCTTTGTCTTGTATAGGACCACCCTAAAGATTGGGTATCTTCTGCGGGGCATCTTAGTTTGGCATGTTGCTGGCCACTGCGCACATGCGACCTAAGCCACCTAAACCATTATCCATCCATCCGATCAGAGATGCACATACCATCCATTCCAAAGCTTGCTTAACTCCACTTGTTTCTCGATCACTGATGTTGACCTGCGATTTCTTCATCATGTCCGGAGTAATCAAACCATGAAACTGCATTTTGTGGTAGAGCCAGGAATTTTCAGAGGATTTTCATCTGCTAGAAATCGTTGCCATGATCGACTAGTACCAGTAGGCATCTCTTCACAGCACACACCATACAAAAAAAAAATGACTAGTAGTTACCCAACGAATTATTACGAATGTAACATCGAATTAATAAAAACACATCATCAGTGTTGCACATGTTCTGAAAGAGAAAATGATTTACAAGACAAGACACGACACACAGACTACACAACCCAAATGACACAAACGAATGCGAGAACCGAGTACACGACGAGCGTGGGATTATTGCGACTGATCACATGATGATCGCAGAGCACAGCTGATCGCAGCAGGTAGCAGACTGCAAGAAAGGAACCATGGATCACATGATGGAGCACTGGCTGTCCTGCTCTGGGCACCGGCAGGGCCACGGCTGCGGCGGCCAGAAGTTCGGCGGGCACGGTGGGCACGGCGGGCATGGTGGGCAATGATGCTTGCATTCATCCTTGTCGTGCGAGCACTCGCGCTCGCACTTGCACTTGCACTTGCAGGGCGGCGGTTTTTCCGGTGGTGGTGGCGGTTTTTCCGGTGGCGGCTTGCAGCAGTGGCACCGAGGCTGAGTTGGCGGGCATGGCCAGCTCTGGGATGGAAACGGATACGGTACAGGGTATGGATACGGCACCACCTTGCATTCTGGTTTGGGCGGAGGCGGAGGCGGTGGCGGTGGCCACTTTTCGACGATGGCTATCTCCTTAATCATCTTGTCGGCCTTGGATAATATCGTCTTCTTGAGCTTTTCGCCATCGAACTTCCCGCGTACGATCACCTTGTTGAGCTTATCCTCGAACTCAATCTTCTCGATGTAAAACTCCTCTGCGGCGTCACAAAATTGTATAATTGATGAGTTTATTGATGCATGCAGGTACACTCGTACAGACCAGAATATATGTAATCCAGCTATATAATCCAATTGCTGCACTCTTAATCATGGTTACTTAACCGGTTGTTCTGTAAAAATGCTGCCCTGCAAATGCATGCCTACATGGTGTTTGTCAGAACTTTCCAGATTTCAGACTGGACCATGTGGAGTTTCACAGGATTTTACAAACCTTCATCAGGATTAATTTCGTATTACCAGTTAAGTTAATTTTCCACTGTGGAATTTAACTGTTTCTTTTTGCTTTAACACGAAATGATTGTCTCGTACACATATGGACAATCATTGTTCTGTAAGAAATTGCTCGTAATAAGATATATAATGACTCTCCATACTTTTACTCCGCTTCCAAAATAAAAAGAAGGTTGGACCTTTCCCAACTTTTTGCATAGTAAATGTACCTTTGAGGCCTTCCAGGATTTTGGTGATCTCGGCTCTGCAGGCGCAGCACAGGTCCACCATGGTGATGACCAGTATTGCCGTCTGCAAATTTAAAGAACATGTATCGGGAAACAATTTGAGACGGCGTCAGAAAATGTGCAAATATGGATCCCTTCATCAATTATGCATTGCTACTTCAGTGGCGGCGGCGGTGGTGGCTTGCAGCACGGAAACGGATACGGTACAGAGTACGGGTACGGCACCACCTTGCATTTCGGTGGAGAAGGTGGTGGCCACTTTTCAACGATGGCTATCTCCTTAACGATCTTGCCGGCCTTGCATAATATCGTCGTCTTGAGCTTCTCTCCATCGAACTTCCCGCGTACAATCACCTTGTTGACCTTGTCCTCGAACTCAATCTTCTCAATGCAGAACTCCTCTGTGGCATCACAAAATTATATAATTGATGAGTTTATTGATGCACATACACTCGTACAGACCAGAATATATATATAATCCAGCCATATAATCCAATCGCGGCACTCTTAATCATGGTTACTTAACCGGTTGTTCTGTAAAAATGCTGCCCTGCATATGCATGCCTACATGGTATTTTTAGATCAAACGTATTCCACCTGGCTTTGTTGAAAGCTTATCGAAAACCCTTGATCATGCCTACATGGTATTTGTCAGAACTTTTCAGATTTCAGACTGGACCATGTGGAGTTTCACAGGATTTTACAAACTTTCGTTAGGATTAATTTCGTGTTGCCAGTTAAGTTAATTTTCCACTGCGGAATTTAACTGTTTCTTTTTGCTTTAACACAAAATGATTGTCTATATATACTCATACACATATGGAAAATTAATCATTCTTCTGTAAGAAATTGGTCTTAATAAGATATATAATGACTCTCCATACTTTTACTCTGCTTCCAAAATTAAAAGAAGGTTGGACCTTTCCCAACTTTTTGCATAGTATAAATGTACCTTTGAGGCATTCCAGGATTTTGGTGATCTTGGCTCTGCAGCGGCAGCACTGCAGGTCCACCACGGTGATGACCAGTATTGCCATCTGTAAATTTAAAGAACATGTATTGGGAAACAATTTTCAAGACAGCGTCAGAAAATGTGCAAATATGGATCCCTTTGTCAAATATGCATGGCTACTTCAGTACTCCCAAAGAAATTATCATTTTTTTGTGATTATGTTGGTTCAAGTTGTTGAACTGGGAACTAATTGATTATGATTTTTTTCCTATGAATCCCAACAGTATGCCAAGGGCCACTGTGAACTTTGCTAAACGGAGAAAAAATCGTATCCCTCGGATTTGACAGAAGAAGGTTACAACATCGCTAAAACGCTTATGGAACTAGAAAAATAAAGCCAACAATTTGGTAAATTGCAAGGATTAGTACACAAGTATGGAGACAATAAAGCAAAAGAGAAGGACGAAGCTCACCTTCTAACCCTGAATAATGTTGTCAATGGACAAGAGAAGAGATAGAGTAGTTTGTAGGAGAGGTGTGGGAGGAAGAATATAAAGGAGCAAATATGAGCAATAATGCCTGGATATACCGAAGCCTGCCAAAAAGCAATAATGCTGGCATTGTGTTAGGTCCGTCGGATCACATCTCGACGGCGCTGGTACTAGGGAATGGGTTGTGAAATCTACATATGGGGAAAAGGACACCTGTAAAAGACACTTTGGTCCTTCTCAGGGACTTGTCCCACTAGTCACCCCTCGTTTTCTTGCCTTTTCTTTTACATACATGATTTTAAATGTCATTGTTTGCTGGTTTTCAACGTGAATACGTGAAACATCTCTTATTCTCTTTCCAGATTTTGTAGAACGGTATAATTGTATAACTGCTCAGTTTAAATTTGCTCCCTCGTTCCTGTAAATACCTAAAACTAACCAATTAAGACAACCGGGTATAGCTACATATGCACCCAAACTGTTTAATATTATGAGAAGAGGATGTTCCAATCCAATCACACTCCATGTGTTCTGTAGAGGACCACTACTTCGGAAATCGTTCCGCAGCCTCTGAGGGCTTCAAACCAAATCTCCTCACTAGATAGACAAACCCTCGTGCCTCAGCCTTGTACTGAAAGAGCCCACTCCAATTGAAAGAAATCTCTTTTTAATCCTACCAGATACACTAGGATATGTTGATGTCTTTTGAAAAAAAAAAACAAAGGGGACACGTTGATGTGTTCAAGTAGATATTAATCATTATCTTTTACTACTACTAGTGCATCAACCCTATGCTCCTAGACAAGTTTCAATCTTAATAAGAGACATAATACCATATTAGAGCTTAATGGATAAATTTAGTGCATACAACTAATACTATCTCGATGCTCTCTTCATTCATTTTCAAGCATAATACCCCTAATACCTTGTGATCGCCGGTACGCACAGCTCGGCTCTCTCTGCGGCGATGTAGTTCCTGGGCGCCGCTGCTGTCCTGACCAAAGTTGAATCAGGAATCCCCAAACCAAGTACATCCCCCTGTCATCCCTCAGTTTTACCAGATTTCCATTTATTTGACATGTTCGCTCAGACGTTGCGAGGCAGAGCTTGGAGATTATGAAAAGAAGCACATTCATGTTGGCCTGGACACACGCTTGAACCACAGAACAATTGACTTGCGAATCTCCACGAACCAAGCCATATTCCGCATCCAGTGTCATCAAGTCAAAAGCGTGAGTGAATACTGATTGACGGTATTACTTCTACTTCGTCAGTACTTTGTACCTTTGCTACATATTAGCTGTAAAAGTGAGTTTGCTGATAGCTGAACCATCATATATACTTTATTAGTAGTGGCATGCAATTCTTTTGATTGCCCATTTGAATAAAGCAACTTTAATTATTTGCTGTTTGTAAGACCATACATCGATGTCGTTGTCATTCATGTCTCCTATGCCCAAGAATTGGATTTTTATCACATACTGTATTTATTTGGAAACCATGTAATGTCCTTTGTACTGCTTGTTTGTAAATGACTTTTATCTTATAATTTGCTGGATACTGTGCAGAAATTCAGAGAATATTTGTTGTCAAAGGAAAGCCCTGTTCGCTTCAACTTATCAGCCGTACCGTTTCAGCGAAATAACAGTGTTTTTCTCTCACAGCAAATCAGTATCAGTATCAACATCAGCCGTTTTTCTAGCTAGCCGAACAGCCCCTTTGTTCGTATCCACACCCCAAAACTGAATGCTGGTGCAAGAAGGCAGTGCAGCTGTATTCAATCTATAATACAATAGACAGCCTGCCGTTTTGGCACAATCTCGTCAGTTACACAAACAAATGGCTATCTGTGGTGGCCTTGAAACAACCCAGGATCCCTGCGAGTCAATCAATTACTATTTTGAGGTGAGGTTATAAGAAGAATATGTGTGCTTCATTCAATCATATTTTTATTTAAGAAAATAGTGATCCTGGGATTAATTTAATTTGATTATTTTACAGTCCACTTAGGGGCTCGTTTGACAACCGTGGATCACCACCGAAGGGGGCCACCCAATCCCCACCCCATGCTGGTGTTTGCATCCCCTTTATTAATTTAACCATTTGGAAGTACGGGACGGTTTTCTGTGGATTCGTCTGACGGGTTCAATCTTGGTTTGACCTTGAACAATAGGAAGCCAAGACGAATTAAAAATAAACAAATCTGCAGCTCTGCTTTCTCTCTTGATTTGACCGTGAACAATAGGAATTCAATATCACATTTCTGAACCAAATCTGCAGCTCTGCTCTGTCTTGGGCATGATAATGTGCAGTCTTGCAGAACTAACTCACAGCTTTTCAAATAGAACTTTTAGCTGTTGCATGCAAGAGCAACTGTCAAGACATTAGTTTCTAGTCAAATGCAGGAGCAACAGAAGAAACAAAAAGAGGGCATACAGAACACATCTGACCAACAATAGAATTACCAGGAATGACAACTCAAAGTTCATATCATGCACAATTCACATGTCAACACTTACAAGCACACACTTGTAATATGTGCTGAACTGATCAAGTAAAGAGCTACATGACACAGGGAAAGCCACACATGGTTTATCAGATAAGATTAAGCAAAACAATTTATGGTACAATGCAGACCAATCTCACCAGCAAACTGGGACAGAAAGCACATCGTTAGAAGAACAATACTGTGGTGCACTGCACCTGCAACAAGTAAAAATCGGACATCATCGTAAGTGCATCATCTGTCGTATATATCTCCTTGTTGGAGCTAGCACATGTCAGAATAAAGCATCTTGCTGTAAACTTTTAGAGTAGCTATTCGATTGATTTTAGAGCCCACTGACTCATTTGTAACACTCAATCCGATGTAACAATTACTTAACGGTACACATCAATCTCTATCTTTCACCTGTTAGTGAGGGTTAAGTTTAGGATGTGAAGCATTTGAGCTCACCGACAGACAATATTATCAATTTATGGCATGGAGATGAATATCCATGGCTAGAAAATGGTATAAATTTAGGTTTCAAGCAGTTGATTGGATTAGGTATATCTATGGTCAACTAAGAAAGCCCAACGATTTGATTGATCGACGTGACGGAGTATGCAAAACTAGACCTGCAGTGCTAGTGCAGCTTTAACTTCTTTTTTCTTTCCAAATCAACAGACAAGTTAACACCAATGAAATATAACATCAGATAGTAGATTCACTGACTTCAACTATGCATGGAGATGAGTATTTTCCAAAGGATAGCACTTGTCACGAGCAGGGCTTGACGACCAACGTAAACTCAAAATGTAAAAAAATGTTAGAAAATCCATCTCTGGACATTGGAAAATTGAGCAGGTGTTCACAAGTTCAGAATTAGTATTGCAGTGTTAGAAGTACCATTACGAACTCTATTCATAATAAAGCATCAGTAACAAAAATAAGAGATAATTTATCAGAATATAACATTGGAGAGCAGATTCAGTAAGTCTTGCATACCTAATGAAGAAGGCTGTGCAGTGGCGGTTCAACTGAGTTTGGAAAAAGTGATTGACAGCTGCTGTATGAGCTAGCTTGAACCCTAGCAACCTTCAACTTCAAGTTGGAGTGGACGGCGCTCTCCGCAGATGCAGCAAAGCTGTCACCAGCAAAGAAGCCTAGCAGTGTTTTCAGTGTTTATTAATTTCACATAATGTGAAGTTACCATAGAGGAAATTTGGCTGTGTTTAGAAAACTAAATGCAAGTGCTTGTTTCCAGCACTGAGCAGCTTCACAAAAAAGGATCATACAAGTACAAGCTCTGAACTTAGCTTTGTTTTATATACTCATTACATATTGAAAACATATCGAAAGATAAATTAAAGACTAAAGTAAAGAAAAAAATTAAATCCAATACTAATGCATGTATCTGGGAGCATTTAACAGTTGAACAGTACACACATACGAATTCAGTAAAAAGGTGCTCAGGTTTCAAGTGTGGTTGAACAATAAATTATTTATTATTTATTATGTCAAAAGACAAAGACAGACTTCTGAAACAAGTCCGACATTCTCTTTTTCTTTTTGATGAAGCATTCTATGTGACAAAATTCACATTCTTTTTGAAGCTTTCTATGTGACAATGTTCGACATGAACAAAACTGAATCGAGCTAGCACAAACATCCAAAATTGAATAGAGTTATTGCAAATGTAAGAACCATAACAAATCGAGCAGGTTAATGGAAAGGACAAGATGTGACATGAGTGGGTACGGATCGTGGGAATCAGGTAAGAACACCTGGAGTTACCGCCGTCTTCTCTTACTCTAGAACGGAGCAGGAGCAGCTGCCACCGTCTCGATCTGGCTCCAACCCTAGCAAGAAAGGAGATGAGGAAAAGGGAAATGGGAAGCGATTGGAAAGAGGAGATGGGGGATGTGAGCTGGCGGAGGCGCACCTGATCCACTCGCCGCCGCTGATCTCGCTTGCCGAGCAGGAGCGGGAGCGGAGCGTTGGCGTCGGCATCGCCTTTTTCCGGGACCGGAGCGACGCGAGCTCGCGGAGACTTTGGCATTTCACCGTCGTCAGAAACGGTTTCGCAGTTTTACCGTTCCTCGGAGTGGTTTCGCTTAAAGATGGCAACGGGTCGGGTTCGGGTCGGGTCGATAGTCCGCGGACCCACACCCGAGACCCGACAACACTACCCGAACCCGACCCGAAACCTGTGACGGGTGAAGATCTGCCCCCGGCCCCGAACCCGGCGGGTCCCCGAAACCCGACGGGTTCCCCGAAACCCGCGAACTTTTACAACAATTGTGCCGCATATGAAGTACTGAACGTCTGAAATGAAGATAACAAGCACCCATGGTCAAGCACATGCACAATTACGTCTGAATTGGAGATAATTAACATGCACTCAAGGTCATTCCGTTGTCCATGAACAATTAAAAATTTAAAACAATTCAAGGCCAATGGAGACTACCAGTAGAGTACTAGAGTTTCTTGAAACGTAAAAACGAGAATAGGACTATTAATATACTATTATATAAATAAGAATTTTCAGAAGGCCTTCATCTTCATTTCATGCCATCATCGTCAATCATCATCATTCATCAATAACCGTGGAAGCTGGTACATCCTGCAAAGTAAAGATACAGAGAATAGATCAGTATATATACTATATATTATATAGAACTAAATCATCGATTCATCACAACTGGAATATGGAAAAATAATAGGAATACCATTTCTTCCTCTTCTTCATCAAGACAAGTCATCAAAGCACTAACAAAACAAGACCAAGACCCTACAGTGCCAAAGTGTTTATAAATTAGATATTAATACTTACAAGAAATAAACATGTTCACAGATCATTTACCTATCATGTCGGCACGAGACCAAGCTTGCATACACATAAGTGCTTCTACCATTGATGGTGCAAGCCTACTGCGATGTGGACTGATTATTCTCCCACTAGTACTGAAGACTGATTCAGATGCCACTGTTGTCACTGGAATAACAAGGACATCACGTGCAATTTTTCGCAAAGTAGGATATTTGAGTCCAGCATGTTGCCACCACATTATGATATCCAGCTCTTGTGTCCTAGGCAGCAATGGCTCCTCCAAGTACAAATCCAACTCTGTGCGTACATAAGTGGAGGTCACTGTTGGTTGCTTTGATATGTAATCATCAAAAGCGTCAATCCAATCTTCACCATCCATGGTTTGAGTACTTCTTAGCCTAGTTTGAGTACCATCGGTTGTGGCAACATCCTCCATTGGATCTTGGTATTCCAATACCAAATTGCATAGCATATCCTTCACTTTCTGAACATCATCTTTTGCTGTACTTTCATTGCCATGTATTTTATTAAAAAGAGCACTCAACAGCTGTAATTTGTACCTGGGATCTAGGACAGCCGCAGCAGCCATTAAACCATGGACATCTGACCAATATTTGTTGAACTTTGCTTTCATTCTAGTAGACATTTCTTCTACCTTGGGTATACCACTATTTGTCCACTTCCTAATAGTCAAATAAATGTTTGTGATCTTAGGAAAGAAAAGGTTGGATGTGACATATTTAGTGCCTGATAGTAACTCTGTTACATCATAAAACATCTTTAATCTATCACAAACATCCCTAGCAAACTTCCAATCTTCTGCTTTTGGAACACATGGAGCTTTGGAAGCCAAGCGTTCAAAAACATCTTGATACAAAAGTGCATTGCTAAGCATAGTATATGTG